TCTAGATGAGAGACCACAAAAGAAAAAATAACACCTGTACTCATAAGATCTATTAATCATTCTGAAAAAATTGTGTGACCACATTGTTAATTCTATGTCTATCGCCCCACTGGCCGATTGCCATGTTTCCTCAAATAAATGTATAAAAAACACTGCTTGATCTGAATAAAATTACAACAGTTCACAGCATACTCTGATGTCTATGTCTGTCTGTCATTCGCCGAATCCCACTTATCCTGAGTACCTTCAACCCGTTCTCCCTCGGTCTGATGTTCCTACTGAGACCCAGTCCGCGACAGATGAGAATATGAGTGTCTGTCTGCATTTGTTTCCTGGGGATGCTATAATAAATTTCCACAAACGTTGTAACTTAAAATGACAGATTTATTCTTCCACAGTTCTAGAAGCCAAGAGACATAAAATTGAGGTCTCCATAAGGATGTGTCCCCTCCAAAGGCTGCAAAGAAAAGACTTCCCACCTCCTCCCACTTCTACTGGCTCCACATGTTGCTGACTTGTGACAGTCTCCCCATTTTCCTGTACACTCAATAACTGCATTCCGTGTGTCCTGTGTCACTTTCTCTTACAAGAACTCTCTGATTGTATTTAGTACCCAATGTCAATATAGTCTCATCTTGATAGTTCCCTTGCTTGAATCTACAAAAAGACTATTTCCAAATAAGACCATAGTCTGAGGTTGCAGGTAGACAGGACCCTGCCAGCCTCAGAAGCACTGTTAATTTCCAGCCCTTTTCCTGAAGATGCTGATGGTGGTCATTCAGAATTTTTGGAGATTTAAAGATATAAAGAGAGATAGATAGATAGGAGATTTATGTGCATATGCATAGACATTGTGCTCATCATTGTAATGGAGCCTTTTCTCCAGTAAAGAGCATTCTTCACTTTTACCCTATAGAAATGGGTGGATTTTTATTGTATTTGAAAATGGCCTTTCCTGGAGCTAATTTATGGTATCAAAGTGATTTTCTTTCATAAAAGACCCATGATTTTTAAAATTTTTTCTCTTTTTTATTGAAAAAAATTTCAATATATTCTGATCATACTTTTCCTCTGCCTCAGCTCTCTTGGATCATCCCCACCCAAACAACTCCATACCCTTTCTTTAGAGAACAAACAAAAAACTACACAGGTTAAAAAAAAAAAAAAACACTATGCCGGGCGGTGGTGGCACACGCCTTTAATCCCAGCACTCGGGAGGCAGAGCCAGGCGGATCTCTGTGAGTTCGAGGCCAGCCTGGGCTACCAAGTGAGTTCCAGGAAAGGCGCAAAGCTACACAGAGAAACCCTGTCTCGAAAAACAAAACAAAACAAAAAAAAACACTAAATCAGAAACCATAATATGTGAACAAAAGACCAATAAGACAAAAAATACCCAAACAAAACAATATGAAACAAAATGTCTACCAATTTACCACTGAGTTTTGTGTTGGCCATCTGCTTGGCATGAGGCCTACCCTGAAGTATGGTTAAAATACCCAGTGAGATTCCACTGGAGAAAACTAATTTTAACATTGCAAGCTGCTATCAGTTGCAGATAACTTCTCGTTTAGGGATGGGAGGAGCCTGTGTCCACTTCCCCACTTCAGCACTGGGACCCCATCTGGCTTGAAACTACACAGGCCTTATGCATGTTGGTACAGTCTCTGCGTTCATATGTACACCAGTCCTGTTGTGTCTGGAGGGCACTGTTTCCTTGGAGTCTTCCATCTCCATTGGCTCTTAAAAATGTTTCTAACCCTTCTTCCACATAGATCCCTGTACCCTGAGGTGAGGAGTTTGATGAAGACATCCCATTTAGGACTCAGTGTTCCAAAATCTCTTACTCTTTGCCCGTTGTCCAATTGTGGGTCTCTTTGTTGGTTCCCATCTACTACAAGAGGAATCTTCTCTGATGATAGCTGAGCAGGGCACTGATCGATGGGTACAGCAGAACATCATTAGGAGCCATGTTATTGCTATGTTCCTTTAGCCAAACAATAGCATTTGATTTTCACCTGGGCCAATGGCCTGTCTAGTGTCAGGTTCTTGGCCACCTGAGCAGTGTCAGACATGGGTTCCATCTCCTGGATGGACCTTAAATCCAATCAGAGAGTGGTTGGTTCCTCCTGCAAAGTGCCACTAGTGCACCAGCGCTTCTTGCAGGTAGGTCACTGTTGTACATCATAGTTTATAGCTGGGTTGATGGCTACCTCCCTCTTCTGGTCCCTTCTAGTACTAGGAACCCCAGTTAGTGGGGGTGAAGCCTCTAGTTAGACACCAGCTTGACATCTCCCTGTTAAGTTAGCTATGTAAATATGGTGGTGTGAATGAAAATGGCTGCTAGAGGCTCGTAGGAAGTAGCACTATTGGGAAGGGTGGCCTTGTGGGAGGAAGTATGTCAGTGGCGGTGGGGGGCACCTTTGGGGTTTCAGAAGCCCAAGCCAGACCCAATGCTATTCTCTTGGCCAGCTGCCTGCTGACCTGGATGTAGAACTCACAGCTACCTCTCCAGCACTGTGTCTGCTGGCATGTTGCCATGCTTCCCTCCATGACGATAATGGGCTAAACCTCTGAACTGTAAGCCAGCCCCAATTAAATGTTTCCTTTATAAGACTTGCCATGGTCATGGTATCTCTTCACACAACAGAAACCCTAACTAAGACAGTAAGTGTTGTCCTCAAAAATAGGGCCTTACCATCAGTTTGCAGAAAGCAACCAATAGCCTTGGCAATAGTTGGAGATGTTAATGGGAACCCATGGGTCCTCTTTGGTCAATGACTCCACTAGATGTAACCCATTCCTGGAACTTGTTGTTTTACTTGATGGTGAAATATGTCTAGTTGGGGCTTTGTCTCCCATGTTATTTGTTGACTCCATTTAGACATCTTTCATATATGTATGTGTGTATGTGTGTGTGTGTGTATGAGTATATATAATATATACATATATATGTATAATGTATGAAACTTCTACAATAGTAGGTTCCCATATGCCCCTCAAATGTCCCTTAGTGTTAGTTGTCCCTCCCCATATCCCATTCTTTACCCCTCTCTTCCATCCCCTTCCCTTTTAACCCTCCCATTCCAGTCTCATCCCGGTTTCTCCATAATTATATATTCTATTTACCCTCCTTGGGAGATCCTCCTCTCCCCCAGTCCTGTACTTGATACCTAACCTCTGTTGTTATATGGATTGTAGCATGCATATCAAAGGCTTAAAAACTAACATCTACAAATAAGAGAAAACACACAATATTTGTCTTTTGGGGTCTGGTTTACCTTATTTGGGATGAATTTATTTTTCTAGTTCCATTCATTTACCTGCAAATTTCATAGTTTCATTTTTTAACACTGAGTAGTATTCCATTATGTAAATGTACCAAATTCTCATTATTCATTCATGGACATCTAGGCTGTTTCCAATCTCCGACTATTATGAATAGAGAAGCAATGAACATGTAGTAGGGTTCTTTGGGTATATGCCCAAGAGTGGTCTAGCTGAATCTTGAGACAGATCTATTCCCAGCTTTCTGAGGAACTGCCACACTGATTTCTGTATTGGCTGTATGAGTTAGCACTCCCATCAGCATGTGTGAGTATTCCCCCTGCTCCATATCCTTGCCAGCATGAGCTACCATTTGTTTCATGTGAGCTACCATTTGTTTCATTGACCTTGGCCTTTCTGACTGGTATAAAATGAAATCTCAAAGTAGTTTTGATCTGCATTTCCCTGATGACTAAAGATATCGACTCTCCCTCCCTCCCTCCTCTCTTTTTCTTCTTGAAACGGGGTTTCTCTGTGTCACCTTGGCTGTCCTGGAACTCACTCTGTAGACCAGGCTGGCCTCGAACTCACAGAGGTCCACCTGCATCTGCCTCCTGAGTGCTGGGATTAAAGGCGTGCACCACTACTCCTGGCTTATTGACCATTTCTTAAAGTGTTTCTCAGCCATTTGTGTTTCATCTTTTGAGAACTCTCCGCTTAGTCCTGTATCCCATTTTTATTTGTTTCCTTGATGTCCAATTTTTGTAGTTCTTTATATACTTTAGATATTAACCCTGTATTAGATGTGTAATTGGCAAAGCTCTTTCCTGTTCTGTAGCCTGCCACTCTGTCCAAATCACGGTGTCCTTTGCCATACAGAAGCTCTTCAGTTTTATGGGGTTCCATTTATTGATTGTTGTTCTTCGTGCCTGTGCTATCAGTATCCTGTTCAGAAAATCTTTTCCTGTGCCAATGAGTTCAAACCTATCCCCCACTTTCTCTCCTGTCAGAATCAGAGTATCTGGTTTTATGTTGAGGTATCTGACCCATCTGGAGTTGAGTTTTGTGCAGAGTGACATGGATTCTTCTACATGTGGCCATCCAGTTTGGCCACTGTTTGTTGAAGGTGCTGTCCTCAGCATGTTCATCACAGAGCCTTGTGCACACAGGCTCTGAGTGGGACTATATCATTCATATATATAATATATATATATGTATATCGTACATATATATATGTATATATATATATGTATATCATACATCGACTCTGGAAACCAGCCTCTACTAAGCTTAGCCAGACTCTGTGCAGGCAAAGCTCCAGCAGACTTTTATTTCCTCCCCATCCATGTCCATGTCCTAAATGAAAGAGACATCAACAAGACAACTGGAAGGAAACACTAAAGCCATTTATTACAGATCCAGATTGGCAGCTGGGGGAGCCAGGAGGTCACCGGGCTCCGGAAATCCCCTCTGTAACTATGGTATCAGGAGGAAAAGGGTAGGGAGAGCAGGAGGTTCAGTACAGAGTGCTCACCTAGTATGCAGGAGACCTTGGGTTGCAACGCAACATATAAAAAAGAAAGGAAGGGAGGAGAGAGGGAGGGAGGAAGGGAGGGAGGGAGGGAGGGAGAGAGAGAAGGAAGGGAGGGAGGGAGGGAGAGAGGGAAAGAAGGAAGGGAGGGAGGGAAGGGAGAGAAGGAAGGAAGGGAGGGAGAGGGAGGGAGGGAGGGAGGGAGGGAGGGAGGAAGGAAGGAAGGAAGGAAGGAAGGAAGGAAGGAAGGAAGGAAGGAGGGAAGGAAGGGGGCTGGGGAAATGAACAATGTGCTTTAGCAACCATAGTCTCCACATGCTCATCTCCCCTGTGACCTGCCCACTCGAGAAAAGCTCTTTGTCTGTGTGGTCTCCACCCGTCTTTAGGCATTGCTGGCCACGCATTCCCCAGGCACAGTCCATGAACGGGTTCTGGGAGCATGCTCAGGACATAGCAGCATCCTGTCTGCCTGAGAAGCCAGGCCAAGGTCAGCTGCTGCCACAGTAGCTCTTCTGAGCTCAGCCCTTCAGGAAATGGTCGAACTGTCCTGTCCTCGGCTCACGACAGGCAGCTGAGGCCACCAGGCAGTGGGGACGCCGCCAGCGGTTCTTCACCTTGCCTTTAGAATTAGGCGGGTTTTCTCATCTCCAATGAGGAGCCTAAAAAGAAATTGTCCTGTGAGGTTCCATTCCCCTAGAAGAGAGACCCAGCTTCCCATCATGAATCTCCAGGCCCAGAACTCTGTAGACAGGTGGCTTCCTGAGCTCAGCCCCCTCAGGCAAAAGGATTCTTATGGTGAAAATCAGCAGTGGAGTGATTAGTGGTGTTTTACACCATGTCCTGGGCATGGCCTGGGGCCCCTGAACTGCAGTAGGCAATGGTACAAGAAGGCTACATAGCCAGCCCAGATCCAACCCTCTCAGACACAGTTGAAGGGACCTGGAAGGAGTTGGTGCCTCAAGGAGAAAAAGAATATGATCTAAATATATTGTACAAAAACTTTTTAGTGAAAAAAATTTTAAAGCACCTCTAAACATGAAGCCCACCTATCGGAAAGGAAAGTCTAGGAGATATCCCAAGTCCCCAAAAATGTGTTTGAGCACTATTTGGAGCCAGGGCCACTCATGAACATCTCAATCCTAAGGGCCAGTTAGACCCCCTTGTAAAGTGGATTTCTGTCACTTGGAGCCAATGGCCCTAGACAGAGCCAGCTTAGTTCCTTCTAAAGATTCCCCTTTTCCTCCAAGTCCAAGTGAGTGCCAGTCTACTAGGTGTAGACTCCCTGGCACCCTCCTACCTAATGAGCAGTCCTACAAGGAGGCCAGCCAGGAGGGGGCCCACCCAGTAGATCCAGTGGAAGTCCCAGTAGCCGGCCATCACCGCAGGTCCAAAGGCACGAGCAGGGTTCATGCAGGCTCCAGAGATCCCACCCCTGCAGACACACAGGTACACGGTTCACCAGCATCTCTAAAGGTCCTACCTCAAATCCACATCTTTAATCAGACCTACAGCCCACTGCACCCAGACATTCTCTCTGAGTCTAGATCTTAGTACTAGGTAGACATAGGATGGTTCCTACATGGCCATCATATAGGCCACTCCCCACACACTCTTCTAGAACAGTAGCCAGTAAAAACAGCTGCTTAGTCATGACAGGAGGAAAAAATAGCACAGGTTCTCTTCCAAAGTCTATAAAGCAAAGTCCGAGGAACGTCACCCACTTTGAAGTCCAGTTGACCTACATTCAAAGTCCAGCCCAGGCAGTTCTACTCTGAAAACTTTGTCTAACCTCTCCGCATGTCCACTGAGATGAAAGTGCCCAACCTACAGGCTGTAGCCAGGAACAAATGACAAAATGTGCATGTCTTGATGATCACTATAGTGTAGCCAGGCCATTGAGGTCCTCATGCCACAGATCTGGGCCCTCCTCCTCCAGAGGGGTCTGTTTCCTAGGCACACCAAAGGGGGCATTACCCCCAGGCTTACCGAAGGGAGCTTGTTTCCAAGGCACCCCTCTAGCTCTGGGTTCTGTCTGCAGACCCCATACCTTTGGGCTGGGTCCTACAGCCTTCAATGGGTTCTGTACCCAGAAGCCAGGCCAAGTGGTGGAGCGCACATGTAAGTAAAGCAACTGCCACTAGGGGGCAGAGAAGCACCACTACTATTAATCTGCTGCATTCCCAGCACACCCAAGGTGGCCGGGAGACCTGCACCCTGAGAAAGGTTTGGTTCTGTATCCAAAAGAAAGGAAGGAACAAGCCGGGCGGTGGTGGCGCATGCCTTTAATCCCAGCACTCGGGAGGCAGAGGCAGGAGGATCTCTGTGAGTTCGAGGCCAGCCTGGTCTACAAAGTGAGTTCCAGGAAAGGCGCAAAACTACAGAGAAACCCTGTCTCGAAAAAACAACAAAAAAAAAAAAAAAGAAAGAAAAGGAAGGAAGGAACAGAACTTCTGGAAGTGACCTCGTACACACCTCATCCGATTGTGGGTGACCGTCCCAGGCCTGCCACTGTACCTATACTCTCAATGACCCTAAGTCATTTCTTGCCTTTCTGAACCTCAGTTTGACTATCTGTACAGTGGGAGAAATGATTCCTGACCCAACTTTGTCTCCTTAATGCCTTCCCCAAAACTAGCAAGAGGCTCAAAATAAAAGAGGCCACGAGTAGAAGCAATCTTTTGTAAGACTGAGGCAACACCCTGAGGGAATGTTTTATTTCTACTACAGAAATAAAAATCCAGAGCTCTGACTTAGCCCTGAATGAAGTAGAAGGGTCACCACATTCTCACACAGCCAAAAATCATCTAGCACTGTCTGATGCCGCATACCCCGCCACTGCCCATGGCCTGCCCAAAACCAGTCCACCATCTCCATTTGCCACACTTTCCTGGCCCCTGCCGGCAACTGAGGCTGCAGCCCTCAGCCCTGATGTGGGTCCACATCTGGACGTGGCCATCACACTGCTGAGGGACACTTACCCTGCCAATATATCCACAACGACCGAGAAGCCGATGCAGAACGGCGCCAGAGGACCCTTCGTCTTCTCATTGACCGCGCCCATACACACGGCCAATGCCAACAGCATCGTCAGAATGATCTCTGCCCCCAGGGCTACCGACACCTGCCCCTGCTCCTGGACTGTTGCAAAGGCTGCCCCAGATGCATTCCAGAACCTCTCCTCCGGACTCATCGCCTGTGGAGAAAACCCACTCAGCCGAGGACAGAGAGAAGCTGGGAGCTGGGCCCAGGGGCTTACCATGTAGGCCTGTGCTCCAGCCCATCTGCTCTCGGACATATATGTATCCATATCCCAGTTCCTCCCAGGTTTACATGTGACTTCGGGAGCTACAAGACCTCTTTGAACCTTGCTTTGCTCACCTGAAAATTGAGAACAACGGGTGTTGTGTCCTGAAGCCTATGCTGCTTACTTAACCCTCTTTGAGGAAAAGAGTACAAAACTAGCTTGCCTCACAAGCTCGAGACATGGCAAGGCCTGCATGCCTTGAGGAAGGCTGAGTGAGGGGTTGAAACTGAGTCAGCCTCCGGGGAGCAGGCACTGGTGAGTGTCAGAGAGAGGGAGAAGGGAAGAAGGGAAAGGAGGAGGGAGTGTGGAGGGAGGGAGCAAGGAGAAGCCCATGGAATTATATGTAGAGCTATAAAATCTTTGGCCCAGCCTGGGGATGAACTTCTATGGTAGGGCACTTCTCTGGCATGCTGAAGGCCTTATGCTCCATCACCTGTGCTGGCAGATGCGGAACCTGCAGCTAAGAACTTGCTTTTTTAAAAAAAATATTTTTTATTTATTTTTTACGTGTGTAAGTGTTTTGTGTTCATGTATGTCTGTGTACACCACATGCATGCCTGGTAACCACAACGGCCAGAAGAGGGTGTGGGATCCCTGGAATTGGAGTTACAGATGGTTGTGAGTTGCCATGTGGGTGTTGGGAATCAAACCCAGGTCCTCTGGAGGAGCAGCCATTGCTCTTAACCGTTGGGTCATCTCCTTAGCCCCAGAATTAGCTTTTTTGATTGATGGAAAGATTTCAAGTATAAATTATCAACTGGAAGGAAAGAGAGGGGGAAGGGGAAGGGAATCCCATCAGAGACAAGCCACAAGCCCAGTCCCAGCAGGGATCACCAACCTTAGCCAAGGCAGCCCCAATCAGTCCTCCGACCAGCTGGGAGATCCAATAGGGAAGAAGCAGCATGGCGTTGAGGCCTCCGATCAGTGTGACTGCCAGCGACACAGCAGGGTTGAAGTGTCCCCCGCTACAACCAAGAGGAGAAGGAAGCCTTGAGGCCACGGTCCAAAGCTCACCACTGGGTGAGAATATATACTCTAGCCTGTCCCCCAAGCTGGGCCTGCAGGCTGGAGTCAGCCCAGCCCTACCGTAAGCAGAAATGCAGCAAAGCCCCATTTTCTCTGAAGAGTCTTGTGGTGGGATGAGAGGCACAGACGGAGCTTGGGATGGGTGGGACAGTCCCTGAAACCAGGCCCTCCTTGGGGACAAACGCATAGGGAGAACATCCACGAATTCCCCCAGGCTCCTCAGAGCTTGTTCCCGACCTCCAGAAATGTGGCCAGGTGCCACATTTGCACAGCACACAACAGGTTGCAAAACCAAGATGTTGGTGCAAGTTCAGCATGCATCTGGCTTCGCTGAACCCTGGCTGTTCTCATCTTCTCCATCCCACAACTGCACACAGGCTCGGTGGCCCGCCTTGGTCACCCAGCCAGGAAGCCACCAGGCCTACCTAGATAGAAGGCCATGTGCTTTTCATCCCACTGACAGTCTCCCTCGGACATTTAAAGAGAGAATAAAGTGCTCATTCTTGCTTTCTAGAGAACAGTATGTCACTGTCCTCACTTAGATCTGATTTTGAGTGAGATTAAATAGAGAACAGCCCTATCCCAGTTCACCCAGTTAGATGCCCCAAGCAGGATACCCACCATGACAGTAGGCTTTTCTAGGAAATGGCCCACCTCCTCCCAACCCATCCCACTGAGCCCATACCCAGATAAAGGCCAAGCAAGAGAAGGGTCATCTTTCTGGCCCCACAAAAACCCCTCTTGTGGGGATGGAGCCCTGGCAGCTTTCTGTGCACCACAGCGGATAAACAAAGCCCCAGCCACATCCTCTGTGCTGCTCTGCTTTTCCTAATCAGTTTCCAAAGTGTAACAGCAAGAGCAGAGAGGGCCGAGCACCCCACACTCTCCTGAGGCGCTACAGTCAGACAGCTTGAACTTGACTCCTGGCTCCCCCCACCCTCTAGCACATACCTCTTACCGGAGATGTGGACTTTCTCTTTGGGGAGGACAAGGCAGAAACCAGGGGAAATAACATGACCTACTCCATCAGTTTGTCATGGGAATAGAATGACATCAAAAGAGTGCTCTGTATAGAGCAGAGGCATAGTTAGCAATAGATGTGTGTTGGCTTGGAAAATAACTAAAGTGTGGTAACTATTATTTCCATTTAAAAGGCCTGGAGAGTGACCTGCCCACAGAATCCACAGGCTGCAGAGCTAGATGAGCCCACCTACCCCCATATTTGTAAGATCCCAAATGGGTGCCCAAGAGCTCCCCAGGTTGGCACTAGGCTAAATGCTGGGAGCTGGTCTCACCTGATGTTTCCCAAGATAGCGATGATGAGCCCCAAGGCCAGCCCATGAGCCAAGGCAGGCTGCAGGAGCCCAGTGTCTGGATTATTCTCAATGACCGATAGACACCCGATGAAGATGAAGAGGGCAGAGCCCAAAAGTTCCACCACACACGGCTGTATGTATCGCTCGTAACAGGACTGTCGGCATCTGCCAGCCATGCTGTTCTCCTTCACCTTGCCCCCACCGAGGTCCACCTCACACATCGGTGCCTGCCGTAGGGAAAAAGAGAGGAAACACGGGTGGCAGCTGCCCCCAAACAGAAGCCCCCATCCCCAGCCTTGAACACATCCTTGGTGCCCTTGCCCAGTCAACAAACTCACCTCCCCAGACATCAGTGCAAGAAGGTCCAAGCAAGAGCTACCAGGAGCTACAGCAGCTGCTCTGGAATGTGCCCACTTATCTCCAGGACAGAGACCGGTCCGCTACAGACTGCTCTTTTAAAGGACTGGGGACGTTCACCAAAGGTGTCCAGAAAGCAATAAAGCCTGGATGGGAGGTGGCCCAGAAGAGTAAACATTTTTTTTCTAATCTCAACAGAGCAAGGGCCACGTGGGATCAATGATTGCTGGGCTTGGTGCCAGCAACAGGAAAGGTGTGGCCTGCTTGCATCACGTGCAGAGCATACTCCAGGCTCCCTCCACAGTGCCTCATCTCTCCAGGGTCCAAAGGTGGCCAGCATGTGTGCACAGGCATGAGGAGGGCCCCACCAGGAGAAAATTGACACTCAGTAGCAGCCAACACCTCTACCATTGTTCCACCAGCCTCAAGGGCCTTCTTCCCACCTAGGACCTTTTCCACGCTCATCCTGATAACCTGGCCCCACAAGTGCGTGTGTGGATGATGGTTGCTGGGTGCCTGAGGCAGTAAAGACAATGTGGTATTATTGCATATGGTAAAGCTGCTGGACTTTAGAAACCTGCTGATGGGTGGGACCTACACCCTCACACACTCGAAGCCGGGGCACCACCAATGAGATGCACACACATCCCAACTCAGACTGCCTGCATTGGAACCCCAGCTCAGCATGAACAAGCCAGGAGCTAGCCACGGAACTGAGTGTGGCCAAACTCTCTTCACCCTCACTCTTTCACCCGCAGACGACAGTGACTGAACCATGTCACGGCATCCTTACAAGGTTTCAGTGAGTGAACATATGAGAAGGGATCGTGGCAGCTCCAGATGCATTACCAAATACCAGAGTCCATTCATTCAGAACATACCTATAAGCCCCGCAAGGCACAAGTGGCCAAGCCCCACCCCTGAGGACCTCCAGCCACCAGGCTCCGTCCACAGAAAACTCTACCTGCCATAATGGCCAGCCCTAGGCCCTCCAGAAACAGGCAGCCAAGCTCTACCACAGAGTAAAAAGCCCAAACTCAGGACTTGAAATCCCCCTAATCCCCACCCTGGAAATCTCCACCCCGGAAAGCTCTGTCCCCCAAGAAACCCTATATAAAGCCTGTCTTCTGCTCAGTTCTCTACTGCTTCTCACCTGAGCAGAGGCCGCCATTCTCCCAGGCTCTTGTGTGAGGTTTGTTGGGCAGTGTGACTTTGTGGTATTCCTTGGCTCCTGACTGCCAGGTTACCTTTCCCCTCAGAGCTGTAATACTTGCACTGGGGAAACCTTCCTCCCCTCCCCTAAAGCAGAGCTGCTAACACTTGCAGTGGGGAACCGTCCCCCCGCCAACACACACACACACACACACACACACACACACACACACACACACACACACACAAGCAGAGCTTAACACTTGGTGGTTTGGAGAAACATTACGCCACCACCACCACCCCCCACCGCCAGCTGTAATACTTCCACTGGGAAAGTCTTTTCTCTCAAAACTGTAACTCTTCCACTGGGGCAGCCTTTCTCCTCAGAGTGGTAACACCTACAATAACCATATAAAACAGTGCATACGTAATTGCCCATCAACTTTAGAATACATACTTGGGTGTTACACTGCATACCTCCATGAGCCAGGAACTGGATAACAACCTTCTATCTGTCGTCTCACATTCACCTGGTGAATATTCCATGACGTAGGTGGTACCTTAGAGCCACAGAAGAGAAAGTGCGTGTTCAGGATGACATAGCCTAGGATTATAAAAACAATGAGATGTCACAAAAGGACAATGTAATTCCACTCACATAAGGTACCCAGACAGTCAAATGTATAAATACAGAAAGAAGAATGGGCCAGGATGGGGCTCAGCTGGCTGAGTACTTGTTTAGCACACATGAAGTCCTGGGCTGGACCCTCTCCTTAGCACCACACAGAACCAGACATGGCAACACACACCTGTAATCCCAGCACGTGGGAGGTGGGCACAGGAGAGTGCAAGGTCATCCTTGGCTACAGAGAAAGTCTGAGGCCAGCCTGGCTATATGAGACCTTGTCTTAAAAAAAAAAAAAAAAAAGTCGGGGGGACAGCATGATGGCCTAGTGAGTAAAAGCAGTTTTCCTCCAAGCTTGATAACTGAGTTTGATCTCCAGGACCTACGAAGTAGAGAGAGAAAACCAACTCGTGCAAGTTGTCCTCTGACCTCTGGACAAACACTATCTATCTATAAATAAATACATAAATGGTTTTTAAAAGAGCACGTGGTTTCTAGACCTGGAGTAGAGTGGGTTAGTGTTCAACGGTACCTGGGTTTTTGTTGGGGGGTTAAAAATATTCTAGATATGAATGGCAGAGATGTATGAAACAGTTGAGGGCACTCAATGCCACTAAACTGCACACTTCGGATAGTTGAATGGTTCATTTCATGTCACACACACTATTGGAAGGAAAGGATAAGCTCAGCTATACACTCTCAACTTTCAAGAACAATAAATCGGCAGATGGACTAAGGACAGAAGAGACTGAGGGAGAAAGGGAAGAAGGGAGGGAGGGAAGGGAAGAGGGAGGGAGGGAAAGAAGAAGGTACAATGTGCTTTCTTGATTGTCTCACAAATATTTAAATGGCTACTGTAAGTCCATCACTATTCTAATCACTGAGTTTCGAGATTCTGCTGGGCTGAGAGCTCTGATCTGAGTTTCTGTGCATATAGAGATAGAAGACTAATATTAAAGACTAAGGAGTTTAATGATCACTTCTACCACTTGCTGATAGCACACTAGTCCAGTCCCACAAGTACACTGAATCTTTTCACAACAGCCCTGAGATAAGTCCTGTTACTCATTGTCCTTATTTTCTGATGATTAAAGGAGACACAAAGAAACTAAAGAATTTGAACACAGTGGTGCAGATTACAAGTATCCACTCCAGGACAGATGTGGATACACCCAGACAAAGGCTAGGCAGTGTGTTGACTGCCTTGAAAGCTAGAGCCCTGACATAGGCCTCCACTGAGCATCTTTGCATGGCCAAATGTTTGGACTTTGCTTTCATGCTGATTATCTTCCATCCTGTTTCCTGCCTCTTCCTACCTCAAAATCACACTGCACAAGATACTTCTTTAGCCTTCCTTCTGTGTCCCTGTGAGCAGCAAGATAAGATAGTCACCACACATCCTCCCAATGGAGCTTCCAGAACAACTCTCTCCTGTTTCCTCCCAGATCAGCACCACTGCTTGTTTTAAAAACTCAAACTAGCCGGGCGGTGGTGGCGCACGCCTTTAATCCCAGCACTCGGGAGGCAGAGCCAGGCAGATCTCTGTGAGTTCGAGGCCAGCCTGGTCTACAGAGCGAGATCCAGGAAAGGCGCAAAGCTACACAGAGAAACCCTGTCTCGAAAAAACAAAACAAAAAACAAAAAAAAAACAAAACTCAAACTAGGAATGTGGAGATGGCTCGGTGAGTAAAATCCTTGTCGTGTCAGCATGAAACTTGAGTCTGAATCCCCAGAACTCACATAAAGCCTGAGGTGGTCCAGCAAGTCTATAATTTCAGAGTTCCTACAGCACAGAGAGACAAAGGCAAGAGAATGCCCAGACACTAGTGAGCTGGTTAGCCTAGTGCATGCAGCATCCAATAAACAAAGACCCTGTCTCAAAAGAGCAAAGTGGAAGATGAGGAATAACACACAAGGCTGTCCACATGTAAGCTGTGACTCACACACACACACACACACACACACACACACACACACACACACACACACGTACATATAGATGGATGGGTAGCTAGATAGATGATAGATAGATAGATAGATAGATAGATAGATAGATAGATAGATAGACAGATAAATAGAGCCAGTATTTACTATACACCTACAATTAGGCCTGTCTGCACTGAGCCCTTCAGATACTCCCTCAGTCAGCATGGACAATATCCTGTTTCCCCATCTCCCAGCCTCCCAGCTACTAGCACCCAGTAACTCTTCATCCAGTCCCCGTGCCTACCTAGTTTTCATCCATTCCTTTCCCACTGGGAGCCAGTACAGCACAGTTTGGTACTTGAGTCTGCATTTGGGGAACAGAATATTCTGTTCTTCACCTGCTGCCAGCATGGCTCCAGTTTCCTCTTCTAGCATATGGAAAGGGCCCACTCCCATAGGCTTTTGTATGAATTCACTGAGATAGGCCCCAATAAATAGTAGCCATTATGGCTTCTATGAGAGTATGTTAAATGCCGTTACAAACATGCCCCTCAACACTTCTATGCCTTAACACAATAATAATGGGTTCTTGGCTCACAGAACTGTCCACCCAGTTTTCCACTAAGTAGTCACTGGGATACCAGGATATTTCCATCTTTCAGCCTCCCATGTTGCAGCCCTGGGGTGTCCTCCAGCAAATGCAGAAAGAGAATGTCCTGTGAGAGGTTGCTATGGGCTGGGCCTGGAAATAAGTCTCTCTTCCAGGTACACCTGATGGGCTAGAACTTGGTTAGATGGCTTCAGCTGACTGCAGAAGAACCTGAGATGGGCACAGGAAGACAAAGAAAGGCACTGTATGAGCGCCAGGACGACTGCTCCCTGCACGGTCAGTCCAATGACAGTATCTCTAACAAGGAAGCAGCTCAGGGCAGGAAGGGCCTATCTTAGTTACAGTTTAAAAAGGAGCACTGTCTCTCATGGTGGAGAAGGCACTGCTGCGGGTTGCTAGTGGCTGGTCACATTGCATCTGTAATCAGGAAGCAGAGAGCAGGCCGGAAGTGGGGCCAGAGGCTCAAGTCCCAAGATGCTTCACCTTCAAAAGTTTCCACAGCCTTCCAAGTCAGCCCCACCAGCCAGGCACCAAGTGTTCAAACACAGGAGAGCATCGGAGGCATTTCACATTCAAAAGCCAGCCCTTGGCCAGCCGCACAGGCCTTCCGTCCTATGCCCTGATTCACCTCACCCTGCAGGGGCCCACACAGTTGAGCAGACCCATGCTCTCATGCCTGTCCCTGCTGCTGTACATGAATTCTTCTGACCCACTTCAGCTTCTCCAAACCTCGAACTCGACCCTCCTTGACTGCTGCCTAGGCCAGCTAGCTGTTAGTCCTCTGAACGTACCCTTTCCCCGCCCAAGGCAAGCTTAGATTCCACAGCTCCAAAACAAGTTGGCAAGTCTCGATTTAACCAGCACGTTTTCACCCTGAGAACTTCCAAGTGTCTGGATGACCCCATGCACATGTGGTCTCTCAAACCGCAGAGATCCCAATAGGCTAGGATGATAAATTTTTCCTAATGACTTCACAGCTTTCCAACCCCTGGTTGATATAACCAAGGCCTCTGTTTTATTTTTATTTGGATGCTAATACTTTAAGATGTCTCTGTAGCCCACCACCATGCCCAGATGGAGTTCAAGGGCAGTTAGCATTTGACAGTACATTGTCCTCGCCTTTTCTTGCATGGACAGCTGTTCTGCTCATGCAAGAATGTGGGCAGATCTGTGATGACATCATGACCATGACACCAGATCAAACCCCAGACTATCTACTCCAGACCTAGGAAATTACCTTGCAGTCACCAGACTGAGTGCCAGGGCACAGCTGAGAGCTCTTGCAAGTTCATAGAAAGGCTGTGAACATTTTAAATTTCCAGAGAAAACACAGTGATGCTCCTCCGTGTCTCTCAGAAACCACTTTGAGACCAGCTCAAGACAGCTCCAGTTCAACAGCTTGGCTGCCCTCCCTTGCCTTTTAATTGCAATGGATCTTTTATCTTCGAGAAGTCGATTTTATAGCAGTCGCTGGGATAAAAATCTAAAAGTCTGGGGCTGGAGATATGGCTCAGTAGCTAAGAGTAGCTGCTGCTCTTTCAAAGGACCTGGGTTCAAGTCCCAGCACCCATGTCAGGCGTCTCACTTCTGCCTGTAATCCAGCAGGAGGGGTGGGGATCCGACTCCCTCTTCTGGCATCCACCTCCACATATACATTGCAAACACTCATAAGACACATACAGATGTCTTGATAAATAATAAAATTAAAAATTATTTTTTAAAAAAATTTCCCATGAAAAGCAACGTGAAAGGAAAAATGAGAATAGCAGTGCCTGATCTGATTACAAAGTCTGAGAAACTAGCTGGGCCGGGTGATGCACACCTTTAATCTCAGCACTTGGGAAGCAGAGGCAGGAGGATCTCTGTGAGTTTAAGGCTAGCCTGATCCAGAGCCTGGTCTATATACAGAGTTCTGGGACAGCCAGGGATACATAGTGAGACCCTGTCTCAAAAAAAAAAAAAATGAATGAATGTTATGGACTGTGGAGACGGTTTCATGGATTAAGAATTTCTTGAAGTTTGGATCCCCAAGGACACATATAAAAGCCAGGTGGGCATGGCGACCTACCTGTAATCCCAGCACTTGGAGGACAGAGACAGGGACTCCCTGAGCAAGCTACCTCGCTACACTCGTCCTACAGGTGAGCACTGGTCAGCCAGAGAGCCATCATGCCTTAACGAAGTGGAGCATGGTCGAGGAAGATTCCCAATATTAATCTCTGGCCTCCATATGCATACACACACGCACATACCTACACTGAAAAGAATGCTATTTCAGAACTCAAATTAATTTCTTCGTCATAGTAATATAATAAAAACAAAATATGAGTAGAAATGTTTTCTGTATGCAGAATTTATATGTATTAATTCTTCAATATATGTGTAGTTTTTTAATATACATGCCTTCCCCCCACCCCAAATGGCTAAGTAAGCTCTCAGAGCATAAATACTAAGACTTTTGGAGCCAGCTGTTTAAGGACTAGAACTAGGAGGAAATCCTTGAGGCTAGGCGCAGAGTGAACATCTGTGTTCCGAAACCCAGGATGCATCTCTGCGGAGATAGCTCTGCGGTCGTTCAGCATGTGCGGTGGCTTGGAGCCTGGGGCAACATGACTGCAGGAAATGAATCTTGTTCTCCGCCTCAAATGTCAGGATGTGTTCGAACCTGAGCGACTCTCTTTCTCAGAGGAGTCCCCAGGACCCATGTCACCATCAATAACTAGACATGCTGACTATTTCAGAACTCCTTACAGCCAGAAAGCTGCTGAACAGACAGCAGGTCACTAAGGCATGGTGACAATGACCATCTCCCCATCATCTTCTGCATCTTTTCAACAACAGTAGAGCAGTGAAAATGACAGCCACTTGCTGAGGGCCTAATCCAAGCATCACCTTGTCTTACATTATATGCATGATCACGAAGGTCCCATTTCTCCTTTTTCATTCTCATTTTTCCTGTGTCCTGCTACCCAAGTTAGATAAAGTATACAAAGGGAGAGGTCAGGGCTTGAGGTCAGGGCTCAGTGGTTGAAAGCTTGGGCAAGGTTCAATGGTCAGCACAGAAGGGAAGAGAAAGAAAATAAAAGGAAAAGAGAAACCAAATGGTCAATAAACATAAAAATGCAATGTTTTCATGGGAAAAAAATCAAATAAAGCAACATAAATAACATTTTTAATGTTAGATTGGTAGACTTTAAAGCAATCTCCAAGCAATGCTGATGCAATGGGGAAAATGGGCACAGGCAGACATTGAAACACAGCCTTGCAAGATTTACTAACTCTGTGTGTGTGTGTGTGTGTGTGTGTGTGTGTGTGTGTGTGTGTGTGCACAGGCTCAACAAGTCTCAGATTTGGAAAGCTGGAGAAATAAAATTCCCATGAGCTGGGGTGCTGGCTAGTGGCTAAGCACTCACCATACAAGTGTGAGGACCACAGTTCGGATCTCCAGAACCCTCATAACACTGAATAGCCATGCAGTCCACCTGTAATCCAGCACTCAGAATATAGAGGGGGATCCCTGAAATAAGCTGACCAGCAGAACGGCTGCATTCAGCTCTGCCTCAGTGAGTATTTGGGGGCGGGGTGTTCAAGAAAGGCTCCTAGTGTCAACCTCGGGCCTCTACATTTGCCTGCACACACATGCAAACACAGCTTTGTGCAACCCCCAACCCCACGCACGTGCGCGCACGCGCACACACACACACACACACACACACACACACACACACACACACACACACACATTCAAACATACGTATATACACATACATTTATACATGTAATAAAAGCCCCCATATGTAAAAGGAAATTCACTTGAACAGTGATAACAATGTTATTTATGTATTCTTATGTTTGTAGAAAATACAGGAAACAGCTGGGGTGTGACAGTTCTGAAAACATTTAGACAGAGCATGGGCTATCTACTCCCAAAGCCTGACTGCTGTCCGTGTCCTCAACACCCCTGAGCTCCACTCTCCCTTTGAGTCTTTACACAGACTGTTTCTTCCACCTACATTGTTTCCTGATTCTGGCAAACGCCTGTTCATTCTCCAAGTCTCAACTAGACTTAATCTCAACTAGACTTAATAAATATTAACAGCTTTGTTGAGACCGACATGAGATACCACACACACACACACAAGATAATGTTTTGATGAGAGAAGCATTAGGGGAGGTGTGGATCCTGTGTATTGGCTAATGAATCTGAAAAGGAAGAAACAGAAGGCAGACACAAAGAATGCATCCCATAGGCTGCAGCGTTCAGCAGTGAGCGAAGCTGGCAGCCCTGAGCTTCAGGAGGTCACCAGGCCAGAGCACATGCAATCTGTGTCATGGTGTGGGTGCTGCTGTGGGTGTGCTCGCTGTGATCACGGACAACGTTGTGGCCGCCGGTTTTCTGTGTGTGATCTACTTCAGTCAACAGCTAAAAATAAGCCCCATCTGATTTTAGATACACAGTGTTTCTATTGGGGGCATGTTGTTCTGGACATAAAGAGGGAATCTAGAGGTGAACTTATAGCCCCAAAGAAAAGAATACAGAATTCAGTCTTAAAGCCTTTGAGGGCAATATTTTATCACTGTAAATATAGAAAAATGCACAGTGAAAAACCATCTTTTAAAGTCAGAAATCTTAGGCCAGGTGTGGTGGCTCATGCCTGTAATTTCAACACTCAGAAGGCTAATGCAGGAGAATCACCAAAAGTTTCATCTTCGGCCATATAGTCTTCCTCTCCCTCCCTCCCTCTCTTCCTCTCCCTCCCCCCTCTCTCCCTTTCCCTCCTTCTCCCTCTCCCCCTCTCTCCCTTTCCCTCCTTCTCCCTCTCCCCCTCTCTCCCTCTCCCTCCCTCTTCCTCCCTCTCCCCCCTCTCTCCCTCCCTCTCCCTCCCTCTCTCCCTCCCTCTCCCTCTCCCTCCCTCTCTCCCTCTCCCCCTCTCTCCCTCCCTTTCCCTCCCTCTCCCTCTCCCCCCTCTCCCTTTCCCTCCTTCTCCCTCTCCCCCTCTCTCCCTCTCCCTCCCTCTCCCTTCCTCTCCCTCCCTCTCTCCCTCCCTCTCTCTCTCCCCCTCTCCCTCTCCCCCTCTCTCCCTCCCTCTCCCTCTCTATGGAATGGAAAAGCAGAACCCTTTGCTATACCTTTTATTATTGCAGTCATTAAACTGTTATCACGGCAATACCAGTTAATGATCAGTAGTCCTGGTCCAGGCCGCACACTGAGTGGTTGACAAACACCACCCTACCTACTCCTCATGCCTGTCCTGTGAGGCAGGCAGACAGGGAGCCAAGGTTCAAAGACTGCAACTCATTGAAGGTCAGATGCAATCTCCATGCCCAAGCGGCTTTGCTGCCTCTACATACTTGCTTTGTTTTACTCAGAGAGGGTCTCACTCTGCAGCCCCAGCTGGCCTTGAATTCAAGACCCTCCTGCCTCAGTCTCCTGAGTGCTAGGATTACAAGGATGGAACATTATGCCAGCTTCTAAATTTACTTTATTCTCTTCCTTCTCTAAAATCTCCAAGCTCTGCAGAAAACAGTCTAACATAATGAGAAAAAATACACTTTTCTTCAAAAGCAGAGTTTAAAATTTTATCCCAATAATAGAAAAAAGGTTGGTTAATGAGCTAGTGGATTAAAAAGATAACAAATAGAAAAAAAAATAAATGTTAAGTCTTAAGCCTTTTTATTTAAAAAGATAGACTAAGGGTCTATAAATCCATGAACAATGCATAGACAACCTTTCTGGCCTATCTACCTTGTGGACCATAGACCACATGCACCCCAGGGAGCTATGAATGTGGCCCAACAAAATGTTGAAAACTGGCATACAGCATTACGAGGTTTTGTTTTCAATTTGGGGGAGTAATTTGGTTGTGTAGTTCTGAGTATGGGTTTTGTAAATGACAACGTAGGATCACCAAGTCAAAAGGTTGAACATACACTGTTTAGGAATGTTGTAGAAGATTCCGCTGCTGCTCTTGTTTGTTTTGTTTTCTGATATAAGGTCTCGTGTAGGTCAGGCTAGCTTCAAACTCATTTTGCAGCAGAGGATGATCTTGAACTCCTGGTCCTTCTGCCTCTACCTTCCAAGTATAGGGATTATAGGCATGTGCTAACACGACCAGCTTTCTGGACTTTTTCTTTCTCTTGGTATGTATGTGTAAGTGGTGTGTACACAAGAGAGAGAGAGAGAGAGAGAGAGAGAGAGAGAGAGAGAGAGAGAGAGAGAGAGAGAGAGAGAGAGAGAGAGAGAGAGAGAGAGAAGGCCCCAAGTTAACTGGCTGTCTTCCTACATTGTTCTTCACTTCATTTATTAAGCTAGGATCTCGCAACTGAACCCAGAACTTGCTGGTTGGTTAGTTCACCTATCCAGCTTGCCTAGGGGATTCCCTGCCTCTGTCTCCACAGTGCTGAGATTGCAGGTGGCTGCCGCACCCTTCCTTACTTCCTATGCTGGTTCCGGAGATTTGAACTCTGGCCAGCACTTTACCCACAGAACCATCCCCCTCCCCCTTTCCAGTCCTAGACTTGTTTTAAAACTGAAAGGTGAAAAGGCTCCCTGAACTGCTTGGTGAGTTTAAGAATCATTGCTGGGGCCGGGCGGTGGTGGTGCACGCCTTTAATCCCAGCACTTGGGAGGCAGAGGCAGACAGATCTTTCGAGTCCAGCCTGGTCTACAGAGAGAGTTCCAGGACAGGCTCCAAAGCTACACAGAGAAACCCTGTCTCAAAAAACAAAAACAAAAAATAAAGAATTGCTGTTGGGTATAAAACCTGGGTGAAGTGGTGGTTGCCTATTAAGCACAGCACATAGGAGGCAGAAACAGGAGAAACAGAATTTCAAAGTCGTTCTGAGCTACACAGTGAGTTCAAGGCTAACCTGGACTACATGAGACCCTGTCTCAACAACAAAAAAATAAATAAAAAGATAAAATTCATCTGGACATGGTGGCACATGCCTTTAATCTTAGCACTTAGGAGACAGAGGCAGGCAGATCTCTTTGAGTTCCAGGCTAGCCTGGTCTATATAGCAACTTCCAGGCCTTCTAGGACTACATAATGAGAACCTGTTTGTCTCAAAAAATAAAATGAAATAAAATAAATTGAGCCATGTACTATAGCATGTAGTTATAATCCCAGCACTTCGGAGGTGGAGGCAGGAAGATCAGGAGTTCAATGCTAGCCTTGGCTACATAAAAACTTCAATGCTAACCTGAGGACATGAAACTCTGGTAGGAAAATAAACACAAAACCCAAAGCAGGACTGGTGGGAGGACTCACTGGATAAAGGCATTGGCCAGCCAGCTTGACAGCTTGGCCTTAGACCCACATGGTAGATGGAGAGAACTGATCCCCACAAGTTATGCTCTAACCTCTACATGCATGCAGAGCACATGCCCACACACAAATTTAATTAAGCTTAACTTACCCACACAGAAGATGGCTAGGGCAAAAGCAGGGAGAGCTGAATGTGGAGAAGCCCCCGTCATCCCAGCACTGATACGGGAGGGTCAGATGTCTGAAGCCAGCCACAGCTCCGTTGTGAACTCACATCTCAAACACACACACACACACACACACACACACACACACACACACACACACACACACACACACACACTGAAATAAAGGGGGAAGGAGAAGCAGGGAGGAGAATAAACAACTACTCTTTTCTGTTGCTGCTTTTATTTTTCTGATTTTTTTGACAGAAAATCTTGGTTGATTAAATGAAAATTTCAATTTCTGATCAACTGTGCCCAACTGAAGCATCCTCAAATGGTGGTGCTTTTCCAGAAACACAGAAATGTCAAGTATTCATTTGGTTGTTTAAAAACAAAACCATATCATCACATTAACCTTTTTTTCCTTGTATGCTTTCCAGTCCTTATCCCAAAGGCTCCCTACAACCTCCAGAAAGTCTGTTGTGTGTGTCATATCTACATCTACATATTGATGAGGGAATGGTTCACTGGTGCCCCTCCTTCCTCCCTCCGCTGCCCTGTGACCTGAGAAGAACCCCAGCCCAGAACCAAATTCACACACAGAGACTGCCTGGCTCTTAGAGTTAAAGGGTGTTGTGCAACAGGCTAATTTTAGAAGTGTGTCTTTATGCTATAAACTTCTTGTGATTCATTGAAAATTAACAAAGACCAGGAAGGTACCTAGGAGGGTATAGGTGAGGGCGTGAGTGTGTATGGGTGTGTGGATGTGAGTATTATCCACATTTAGGAAGGGGCAAGTCTTTATTGTGGGAGACCTGCTTATCCGTGGTAGGATGTTTAGATGCCTCTCTGGTATTTTTTAACAAGATGCCAGCAGCATCGCCCAGTTATGATAGCTAAAAATGTCTCTTAAAAGAATGGGGATAAGCCAGCTGTGGTGGCACACACCTTTAGTCCCAGAACTCCAGAGGCAGAGGCAGGCAGATCTCCATGAGTTCAAGGCCAGCTCGGTCTACATTATGATTCCAGGACAGCCAACACTACATATCTCAAAAAAAGTTAATAAAATAAACACGCAAAAAAGCATGTCTTTTTTGTTGTTTTGTTTACTCAAGACCAGGTTTCTTGTGTAGCCCTGGCTGTCCTAGAACTAGTTCTGTAGATCAGTATGGCCTCAAACTCACAGAGATCTGCCTGCCTCTGCCTCCTGAGTGCTCAGATTAAAGGTGTGTGCCACCACTGCCTGGCCAAAAAAGCATGTCTTTAAAAAAGAAGAAGAAGGAGGAGGAGGAGGAGAAGAAGAAGAAGAAGAAGAAGAAGCCAGCCAGTGGTGGCACACGCCTTTAATCCCAGCACTCTGGAGGCAGAGGCAGGCAGATCTCTGTGAGTTTTGAGGCCAGCCTGATCTACATGGTGAGTTCCAGGACAGCCAGAGCTGCAGAGCTGTTATACAGACAAACCCTGTGTGGAGGTGGGGGGGGGGGGTAAGGGGGAGCAGGAAGACACAAGAATGTGGATCTAGCTTGATGGTAGAGCATTTACCTAGCATAATAAAGACCCTGGGTTCCCAGAACTAGAACACACACACACACACACACACACACACACACACACACACACACACACACACATACACTTTACTGCTTGCAGCAAAGTATTTGTCTAGAATATAGAGAGCTGACTCCTGCAGAAGGCTCCTCTTTACGATATCCACAGGCCAATGACTGAGCCTCTGTTAGCAATGCTGTTGTCCCCACATGGATCCCAGCAGCCAGGGAGTGAGCTGGTCTTTTGCAGATGATGATCTCACTGTTTGCTCAGAAACCTGTGATGTGATGGGGCCGAGAGATCTAAGCTCCTCTGCCACATCCATCAAGTGCTCCTCAGCCTCTTCTGATTGTAGATCCTGAGGAAGTTCGAGATCAATGTATTGTTAAAGGCACAGGACAAAAGTAGCTCTTCTTCCCCGACCCAGCTAGAATGGCTTATCTGTTTTATCATTGTATAATATAAAATTCATCATCTTAACTTGTTTGTTTGTTTGTTTGTGAAAGAGTCTTACTATGTAGCTGGGGCTGGCCTGGAACTCATAGACCCTCCTGCCTCTACCTCTCAATTTCTGAGAAGAAAGCAGTGAAAAGTCTTTCTTCTTCTCTGTGTGTTTAATTTTTAATTAATTAGCTAACTCAATAATTAACTGTTTGTTGGTGTGACTGTGTGTGCAAATGCTTGAGTGTGCCATTGCATACACGTGGAGGTCAGAGGGCCTCCTGCA